CTTAAACCTTTTTTGGGCAAGGGGGAGGGTCCAGTCTTAACATTTCCGATACTGTTTAGATTCTAGACAAATTCCAATATAATGGGTGTAAAAATCGTAATAGTATATGTGTTAAGGCTTAAAATAGTGAAACGGGGAGTGTCAATACAATTCAAACACGTGCACTGAGTACCCGGTCTAAACCAATAAAGAATGAGCTTTGACAGGGAATGATTGGCATAATGATATGATGCTCACCTCGCCTGTTTTTGTCTGAGACGAGCAATTTGAAAGGAGGGTAGAGGACAGATTGTCGTATCTCCAAAAATACTTTTTTCAGGAGAAGCAAAAAATCCAGTTTACTTATACTACACTGCTTTTCACAACAGTGCGGTCAAAAGTTCGTGGCGTAACTTATCCTCAAATATCTCTTCAAGGGGTGAATCAATGTCACACATATATTTTTCCTACAGCAGTTTGTATCAATTTGTCTAACTGTATTATTTTAACACACAACACATTTCAGGCTAGATAATAAAACTTTTCTTCTTAAATTTGTATGAGATGATTAATATTATATCTCCTACTAACTGAAAATGTGAGTGCAGCACTTCCCGCTTCTCAAACACATGTTGCATACGCATACTGCCTACGTCACAGTTCATCAAGGACACATATCTATTTAATGGCAAAACTAGTTACGAGAAATTAATTTTGTAGTAAACACTTTTTTTGTACTGAAGGTTCTCAAAACATGCGTTCAATTAAATACAATGTCGCGATTAGAAAAAAAAAATGACGGACTTGCTTTTAAAAGCGATATTGCCTCAGCTGTAATCCTTTTAAAATGTGTAGGAACCACTCAGTAATTAGTATTACGGAAATTTGTAGAATACAGCGAACAGGTATAAACCAAAAATTCTGATCTGTTAAAACGAATTGATACAAGTAATTGTGCACAAGCTGGAGACTTATATTTTCGATCGTTGAAGAAACATTAATTTGACAATAAGTTGTGCCATCATTTTTTGACCGCACTTAGAAACAACTTCTCTCTTGAAGCCATAGACTTGTATCATAATAATATCCAAGACTAAACACTCTGACGTAGTTCCGGCTCACAGCGAAGAGCGCCATTTGATTCTATTTGGAACAAAATGAAGGACAAAGAGAAAATGTTGTGATGGCACTCAACATGTCTTTGCCTTTATTATCGTGCCCATGGTGCACACCAGCTTAGCCAACTATTTTTTTAAAGAGAAAAGAGAAGCGGTTGTGACAGTGAGTTTTAAAATGTGTTAATATATTGTGTTTTAAGCTTCCATCGATGCTATGCCAGTGTCTGGTCTAGGATATTATAGTAGTATTTCGACTATGATTGAAATATTTGTCTGGTCAAGGACACTATATAAATGTAGTTCGTCTATGATTGAAACATCTATAACTATTTACGCAGATACAGGTTTGAAGCTGTGACATACAGTTCACCAAGTATTACTCACAATGTTATATAAAATTATTCCCTTTCTGTTTGAAAATATCCAATCTTGACTTACGCCAATTTGACTGCCAGTCCTCAGATTTATCTAACCTGTCTGCCGCGAAGACAGACTGCTGGTTTGTTCTCACTTGGCAAGGCAATAATGATGATAATGATGTTTCGATTCCTGACAAGGTTATGCAGAGAGACACAATGTTTCTTGATTTTTTTCTTCTCTCATTGCTTCCGTTGCGTTAACTCGGAGCGTCTGAGACACACAATAATGTGTGGCATCGCGGTGAAATAGAGCGTTCGTCAAAATAATGAATTCGTTGAAAACGACATTTTTCGTCCGTTGGGAAAATTTCATCGATTTTGCTTTTGGCTTAATACCTTTTAAGTTCATTTATAAACACATTTTTTGGTAGGTCTTACTGGAAATAGGTGATCAAAAGCGCAATAATGTATATTTGCAGTTTCCAAAAACTTTTAAACTTTAGAAGTCAGAAAATGTGGTTGCTATTTTCTCACTAAATTTCATTTCTTTCACACGAGGCTCCCCCCCCCCCCTCCCGTCCTTTCTCACATCTCTCAGTTGCAAACATGTATACTTCTTTTCAAGACCGACGGGTATTTTGTATCAAGCGCAAGACAGATTAACATACTTTACGATATCAACAACTCTTTGTGCCAAAAAAAAATCCCCAAAACTGACAAGCGCCTGATTCCATCGTATCGCGACACACAATCGATCAGTGGCAGACCAAAAGCAATGTTGTGGCACATTTTAAAACCGTCATACATAATTCAGAAAAAGGAACTTGCCTATTTCATAAGTATGAATTATACATGTTGCTGTGCCTATTTACGTTTCTGACAAAGAAAACAGAACTGGCAAAAATCTGTATGAATAAGGGTGTTGGTATTGTGCTTTTGTTTTTAAAGAATTGCCCTAAAACAGCATAGGGGCTCTCGTGGTCTAGAGGTTACTGTGTTCACCTCTCATTCAAAAGGTCCCGGGTTCGTAACCTGACAATGATATTCTTCTCTAAATTGTTCTCCTTTCACATCATTTCCCGCTCTTTTACCACTTTCTGTCGTCAGCTGTTATCTCCATTTTCTGTTCCCCCATTTGGGGTCTTGACTCTTTCTGCAGCTTTTCTACTGCACTCTTTGGGTCCTTCTTACGGCTGTCTTTCAGCCACACCCCTGAAAATAGGGTAGGTAACATGTAACATCTAGTCTTTTCGGTTTAGCGCAAAAAACTCGGAGTTCCCGTATGCAAGTTGCGCCCCATTAAAGATCTCTTGGTTGTCTAAAATCGATAAGAGTAAGCTTCGGCCGCCACCAGGGCAAAATTCAAAATTAATTCCTACCGAGCTAAAAACGTTTAAGGTGTCCTGCGTGCTCATATGACCTTATTATGCAGTTGCGCGCACCGTGAAACACTTACCATAAAAAAGCAGCATTTCTACTAACGATTTGTGTCAGAACTGCAGATTTACTAGAGATTTAAAAATATGGATGACCAGCAATAAATTGAAACTAAATGATGACAAGACGGAAATAATGTTAAGTGGAAATACA